ATAGGGTTTGTACTGAGGTCTTACTATTTACCAAACCATTAATACTACAAAAACTTTTCCTTTTATTTTCATTTTCTCTAAAATATTTTCCAATACAGCTAAGTAGCATAGTAGATGAAATACTAGACCTGGAGTCAGGAAAACCCGAGTTCAAATCTAGCCTCAGACACTATATTTGTGACCCTGGACAAGTCCCTTAACCTCTCTTTTTGCCTCAGTTTCCTCATCTCTAAATGGGAATTATAATAATAGCGCCTATCTTCCAGGGTTGTTGTGAGGTATCAAATGAGATGATATTTACACAGCATTTAAAAAAGCATTAGCTAGCTAGTAGTAGATAATAGTAATATAGTAATAAAATTATTCTGTACTCAGTGTGCACTATTACATAGTATTTCAGAGGTCAGAATTAATTATTAATGATAAAAAAATGCCATTTATTTCCCCTTGAGTATTAAGAAATAAGCATAAGATGATACTAACTCGTACTCTTCTTTTTAGGTAAAAAGAACTTATTCCCATGGTACATATCGAGCTGGCCCAATGCGACAGATCAGCTTGGTAGGAGCAGTGGATGAGGAAGTGGGAGATTACTTTCCAGAATTTCTTGACATGCTGGAAGATTCACCTTTTTTAAAAGTAAGGGAAATTTCAGAAATATATTTATGTGTATGGAGTAATTCTCTATGAGGCATAGTGGAAGGAGCAGTGAACTTGGAGTCAGAGAATTAGGTTTGGGTCTAAGCTCTTAGATCTTACAGTGTTGTGACCATAGGAAATTTATTTAATCTCTTTCAGCTTCAGTTTCCTTATATGCAAAATGGGGATAATACTGCTTTCATCACCTACCTTACAGGGTAATTGTGAAGAAGATATTTTGTAAACTAAAACATAATATAAATGTAAATTATGATGGATGATGATGATGTGAGGAGTATGGTAGATTTATTATTAATGTATATGGTATGGTAGATTTAGTATTTTAGTATTAATGTAAAGCTATTGGCTTTAAATTTTCATTTTACTAAATATAATAATTTAAAGGTGTTACTTAGAGACAAGATTGAAGATCATATTCATACCTCAAACTTTAGTAGTGTTTGAATTAGAAGAAAATAGAGCCCACAGAAATAAGCAGATATTTTCTCCACTTTCCATTTCTAACAACCTAATAAGTTATAACTGAGAAGTTAAGTAGTACACCAGTAAATTGTATTTTTCAGTTCTTAAGTAATCAGTTTTCCTCTCAATTGTATCAACCCTCTAAATATCAGGACTAAGAGAAAATAAAGATGGAGACAGGGTGAGGGGTGAGGAAGCAGTTATATTTGTTGGAAAGGGAAATCACGATAACTTTGTTTGAGGGCTAGTTTTACTACTGCCTAGCTATATTAAGTTGGGCAAGGTCACATAACTCCAGGAGGCCTCATTTTCTTCCACCTTTATGGCATAAAGTAGTTGGCTTAATGAGTGTTTCAGTTTCTTCTTGCACTGAAATTCATTGACCTCCAACCAAGTGTGTACTTTGCCCATTGCCTGTACATCCCAGAAAATAATTTTTACAATTTTTGGGCTGCTGTAGTTATTTAATTATAAGTGGAAGTTACTATCTGTGCTAAGTGGCTAGTCCTTTAATTGGCATTTCAAAAGTCAATGATTAACACACTATGAAGCTAAAAGGCTAAGTTAACCCCATAGCCTTATGTAACTTGAATTTCTCTCAGTTGTTCTTACTGTGAATCACATGAATTTTTCTGAAATCACTCTTTGTTTTCCTTTCTTTAATCTTTTCTGTAATCCTTATGTGCTTATTTATCTGTTCCTTCTTGTGAAGATGGTATCTCTGTGTTGTTCTTCTGTTTCTATCTCCTAATCCCTTTTTCCTTCTTCCTTTTGTGTTCCAGTCTCATTTGCCTCTTCTCTGCACCCCCAACCCTTTTCATCTCTCACTTAACTGGGTATAATGTGCCTCATATTTTAAGTATTTGTTTTTAGATACTTGTTACTTATTAAATAAAATGGTTTCATTTTTACTGTAAAAATCAGGTGAGTTAAATTTTTTGAAAGACACTTAAGTTGCCTCTTTTACTTATGTAGCCCTCAATTGATTAACTCTTACTTTCACTCCAGTCAGTAGTCCTCCTTTTTCCCCCAAAATGTTTTGTCCTAATCTAAGAGATGGCTTCCTCAGTTGGGAGCCAAACAAAGGTAAACTTTAGTTAGGATTTGGTTTCCTTTTGTCATTATCAATGAATGAAGCACATCTTAAGTGTTACTTTTTTTTTTTAAACTCATACTTCTCTTTTCTTTTTTACAGGCCTCTACTAATGATCAGGAAATTCTACCTTCTGATGTTTACTGATTGCTATTGCTATAGCTTATGTAATTTTGGGGGAAATAAACACATAACTCATCCCCCCAAACAAACACTTTAGAACTCTTAGGCTATCCTCTTGTATTTCTCCTCCCTTTCATAGCCAAACTTCTTGAAAAAAAGTTGTTTCTACACTTTCACTCTGCTTTTTCTTTTCTCATTCACTTCTTAGCCCCTTGCAGTCTGGCTTTGGATCTCATCAGTCAACTTGAAACTGCTCTTCCCAAAGTTTTCAGGAATTTCTTAATTGTCAAATCCAGTGGCCTTTTCTCAACCCTCATCTTTCTTGCCCTCTCTGTAGCATTTGTCAGTATTGTCACTGTTGACTACACTCTCCTGAATATTCTGTGCCTTGTAGGTTTTCCTGATGTCGTTCTCTCTCGTTTCCTTTCCTAAAGTTTGACCAGTCCTTCTCAGTCTCCTTTGTTGGAGCTCTCTCCTCATGTATTCATATATACTTTATCTCAGTGATTTCCATTACCTCCTGTGGCTTCAATTATAGCTATGCAGATGACTCTTAGGTTTCTTTATCAAGCCCTAGCCTCTTTCCTGAAATCCATTTCCGCTTTGCCAACTGTCTCTAGTACACTTCCAAATGAATGTCTTTCAGGCACTCTAAGCTCAACATATCCAGGACGCAATTCAGAATCTTCTACCCAAAATCAGACCCTCTTCTGCACTTTACTGATTTTTTTGACAATCAGTCACTCAGTGACTTTTCCAGTCACTCAGATTCATAAACCCAAAGCCACCCCCAATTTCTCACTCTACCTTATCTCTATCTTCAGTCAATTGACAAGTCTTGATTCTATTTTCACAACATCTCTCACAATTATCTCTGTCTTTCCACTCGGGCCCTTATTAACTGTCACCCGGACTATTGCAGTAGCCTACTGTTTGGTCTCCCTACCTCCAGTCCATTCCCTCTTCACTCCTGCCAAGGTGCCTTTTCTAATGCTTATGGGTGACCATGTCACTTCTCTGCTCAGAAAGCTCCAGTGGCTCCCTGTTGCCTCTAGTGTGAAATACAGACTTTTCTTGCATTTAAAGGGCTTTACAAGCTGTTCTCAGTCTACTTTTGCACACATTTTTTCTTCTTCATGCTCTCTCTGGTCCAGCCAAATTGGCCTCCTTGTTGTTCCTCACATGGATGTTCATTTCCCACGTCTGTCTGTGCCTTTGCACAGGCTGTCCTCCAGTGCTTGAAATGTAGTCTTTTCTCATCTCTTGTTTCTTTAGGAGTCTTTAAAAGCTCAGGACCAGTACCACCAGAGGAGTTTTTTCCTCATTCCACCCCCCTCCCCTTTTCTAATGACATTACTCCCCGCCATTTGCATTGTATTTATTTCCTTGTATTTACCTTGTATGCATTTTGTATCTAGTTATATATGAACATGCTATTCACCCAGATAGCATGTCAGCTCCTTGAGGGCAGGAAATGTTTTGTTTTTGTCTTTATATCTATCTCCCAATGCTGTATAGAATTTATGGGGGAGAAATATATATAGTAAATCCTTAATAAATATATGTGGATTGGTTGAAAACTAAATACCTAAAGAAGGTAGGAAAATTATTAAGAACTATTTGACAGATTTCTAAAACTATTTTTTTAGACCATATTCAGAAACGTGAGTGTGTATGTGTATAGATGTATGTGTGTATACAGATCTGTCTATCTATATAAAAATAGAGCTGCCACAAAATGCATACTATCTGTCTTTTTATCTATCTAGATGGTATGCATTTTGTGGTAGTCTTATAATCCTATAATTTAGAGCATATTTGAAAATGTACTTTGAAATCAGTTTTAATATAAATATTTCTCTCTAGTGTACGCTGCCATGGGGAACACTGTCTAGTCTAAAATTAGAGAGTCGGAAAGATAGTGATGATGGTCCTATCATGTGGGTACGTCCAGGAGAACAAATGATCCCTGTGGCTGACATGCCAAAGTCACCTTTCAAAAGGAAAAGGTATGTTGGACCCAGTTTTGTTGTCCACATGGTATTTCCACACTACATAAATTATATTTAGGAATGTATGCTAATAATAAAAATGTACTAATTTAATTTTTAAAAAGATCAAGAAGATACCTTAACTTTGAAAGATAATGTGAAAAGTGGCAATGTGGTATATATAGTGGATTTGGTGAATTTGCTATCAAGATCTGGGTTCAAATTTTGACTCTGTTATTTGCATATAGAATGGCCTTAGGCACGTCACTTAATCTCTCTTGGTCTTAGTTTTTCACTTGAAAAATGGGGCAGTTAGACTCGATAACTCTTAAGTTCCCTTCTAGCTCTAAGGGTCTGAGCCTGAGGACATAGGTAGGTCCTAACTTATGAATGGACTGTTGGTTCTTTAGAACCTTGAAAACATTTTTCCATAGAAATAAGTGGAATCCAGTTCCCAGACTTATCGAATAAAACTGACACATAATAAATATAGGGAATTAGTACTCTATAAATACTACCAATTGTATAATATTATTTCATCCATATTCCACATTAGAGTTGAGAGGCATCATGCTGTGATGGACAGAAAGCTGGCTTCAGAATTAGGAAGACATGCATTTAAGTTCTGCCTTGTATATACTGTGAGTCGGAGAAAATTGCTTACCTGTTAGCCTTAGGCAAATCTCCAAGATTATATAGGTTATAGATCAGGTACTGATCCACATTGGTAGAAATGAGATCCTTATTCCTCATGAGTGCCTTCCACTGATGAAATCACAGGTCTATCAAATAAAATTTAAAAATAGTTTATACTAAAGGCAGCATGGCCTAGGGCAGAAAGGGGCTAGCCTTGGAATCAGGAAGTACTGGTTCAAGTCCTGCATCTATCAGACATTCATTGTGTTATGATAGATAAGTTACATATTAATTCCTCCGTGCCTCAGTAACTGTCCTAAGACTATTAGTTAGCTAAATTGCATCTTAAACCAGGAGATGCAGATTTAGATCAAAAACAGTACATTAAATAGGTTTTTGTGGACTACTCTGGAATCAAGCAACTATTTGTATAACATTATTTCTATGGGAAAATGTGTTTTAGGGAACATTTGTGTATCTCTAGCTAACTGACTGCATCTAACACCACACCCTAACAACCTCTTGCTTCCTGGGAAAGTATCTTCTAGTGACTGCTAAGCATGGCAACTTAAGATATAATTTATTCTTTGGAGGGAAATATAAGGGTACCGCCTGTCAAAGACCAGCTATTTTTAGATGGGATATTGTAAATTCAGCATTCTAAAGTCAGAGAGCTGCCTGTATTGTGTTTAAACCTCAGGTATTGGGAGAATACAAAGTAGGAGAATGTAGTTTCTGAAATTTGCAGTTTGGCTAATGTAAGGGCGTTACTTTCTTCATTTCTGTAACCTCATAGGGTAATAAATATAGAGTTGGAAGCCACCGCGAGATCATCTTGTCTCCAAACCTCTTATTTTACAGAGATATATGATAGAATATTTTTAAGATTAGGACTTCTGTGGTAGTTGTTATAGCATTTCTGCTTGTCTAAAATCCCCGGCACATTTCTGTAGAATTGTGTCATCTACTGAACCATCACATAGCTTCTTGACACTTTCTCTGTTTTGTCAACATGAATGTTGATCAGGCTAATGAAATCTGTTTAAAAAGTTGATAACCCTGTGGTGCTGTGGTTATAAAAAGGTCAGACTATCTATCCATTGGTGGTCTTTTCCCCAAAAAATTGTGTACTACTACACAATGCTGTTTATTAATAGATAACTAGTAAGTTGTGTTTTGTCCTTGTATAACATTCAGATAAACTTATTTATAGGACATACACAACTTTAATAATAATAGAAGGTAATCTGATCATATTATTTCACATCTTGGTAAGTTAGTACAATTTGATTAGAAAAAATAAAACTGTTTATTCAGCTATCTAGGAAATGAGTTCATTGAAATAAAAGATAACACACAGTAGAGTGTTTGTTGATAGCTCACTCTACCAACACCAGAAAATAATTCAAGACATGCCTTTGTATTTCCTAGTACCATCAAGTTTATTACTCATGGAAAACATTCTTTCTTATTCAAGTGGTTTTTGCCTGTTGATAAAAACATTCATTTGCTCACTCCATGAGATAAATGATCAGAGATTCACATTAGCATCTGGCATATGAGCATATTGGGGGACTGGTCTCATGTGTTTTGGGGTAAATATACTCAACCTGGAAAACATCCAAACTATAGAGAAATTCAGGTAACAATATTTGTAACCTCAGAAGAGAAAAATTTAGAGAGGGATTAAAAAAATTGTGGAGAGGGGCAACAAGGCAGGGAGGAAAGATTTGAGAATAGGTGATTTTTAAAAATTACGTAAATGATTATTAGTCGTTGCTGTGTTGTTGCTAAGCAACCCTTTTAAATATACTTTAAATGCGTGTTCTTTTGAACCCTCTCTATAAAATGAAAGAAGTCACCAAGGATGTGTATATGTTGTGTTTTGTTGGTTTAAAAAAAAACAAACAGAACTACCAATGAAATAAAAAACCTGCAGTACCTACCTCGAACTAGTGAGCCCCGTGAAATGCTTTTTGAAGACAGGACACGAGCCCATGCAGATCATATAGGACAAGGCTTTGAGCGACAGACTACAGCTGCTGTTGGAGTGCTGAAGGCTGTGCACTGTGGGGAGTGGTAAGTAACTGATTTTGTTTTATTGGAAAGACTTGTTGAGCCTGTCAGAAATAGTTGTTTGAGAAGAACTAGCTGCTATCATTTATTTTTCCCAACAAATTTTCTGTTGTAAACATTATTATCATTCTTTGATAATTGCCCAAAAAAGAGTTGTAGTTTCTTTCCTATTTGTCTATCTTAACACCTATGCAGATGGATAAAGTAGTACCTTTCCCATGCCTTTATGGACATTTCTAATCTTTGTGGGATGAGGGAAGCCATGAAGACTATTCTACTCATTTGTTTTATGCCTCTGAAGCTGTCTTGTCTGAAATTCTTATCTGCTCTGACAAAGTTAGCTGTCTGGTAGGAGATAACTAGATAATTATTCCAAAAGGCTGTTTTTGGAGACTTTCAGATAGCAAGATGTCTGACAGTATAAAAAGAAATAAGACTTTAATTTTTATCAAAAAGGCCTACTTGTTGAGACTTTTAAAATGAAGCCTATATACATAAATGTATGTATGTAGATATGAAATGTTACACATCTTGTAAAATATATACACTTTCCAAGAGGTCCAAAAAGAGGTTATCTTAATGATTTAACTTTAGTCCCAGAAACTCAGTAAGACAGTAAGTCATACCACCTGAGAGCAAAATATAAATAAAGCAAAAAACAAAAATGTCTTTTAATTATGTTGAATTGGAGAATATCCAATCTATTTTCTATTCATATAATCTAATTCATCTCAAGAAAGAAGACACCATTACAGTGGAGAAGCTTATGAGGATGAAGAGCATCATCCAAGAGGTGGTATTTAGTGCTAAACCTCTTAATGGGGGCCAGTGAATACTCTTCATTATGATGCTGGCTTGACATTAGTGAATGAATGAAGGAGTAAAATCATCTTAACACACTCACTTTGTTTTTGTTGTAATATTCAACTAGAGTTGTGGTTTTTTTTAAGTTAATGAATAAAATCAATATAACAATTAAGTTAATAAAATAATTAAAAATTTGTTAATGAATAGTAATTTCCTTTCTAATAGCATAATATTATTTTCTCCCATTTTTTACCTCTTCCCTCAAACACCAAGGATGATTCTCTGTATTAAATTTTATAAAGTAGATTTAACATAGTTATATTAATATTTATGCTGGATGTCCAGTTTGATCAGGTAGATTTTTTTTTAAAATTTACTGGGATTTAAACAATTATTACTTGATTATTTGTAATGTAACATATCATGCTAGAATATGGCAGTCTGCTTACAAAAATAATAGAATTTGAAACTAAACTTTTTTCATATTAGAATTAGCTGTAAAATTATTTTAATGAAATTGCTTATGTTTCTGTGATATTTGTCTTGAAAAAACATTTCCAAGTAAGGAAAGTGAACGCTTTCATATAGCAATGCATGTATGTTTGAAGAGTTTATGGGTGGAAATATTTTGGAGGTGAAGAAAAGAACTACAAAAATATGAGACTTGTTGATGGCTGTTTGGTCAATTGGTATGGCCCATTATTTCCAATATATTATTGGATATTCAAAAACAATTGGAGAATTTAATTAGGTAACAACAGTATTAGAATGTACTTTAATGAAGTAAGTTTGTGGACAAAATTGGATTTTAAAAAATGTCCCAGGGCAGCTAGCTGGCACAGTGGATAGAGCACCACCCTGGAGTCAGGAAGACCTGAGTTCAAATCTGGCCTCAGACACATAACACTCACTAGCTGTGTGACTCTGTGCAAGTACTTAACCTCAATTGCCTCACCAAAAAAATAAAAATGTCCCATAGGCTTTGCAGAATACTCAAGTTTTTGCTTTCATATGCTTTTTATACTTTTGATATTTTCCTCTTTATCATAAATCTAGCTTTTTCATTCACTTTTGGCATTACTGAACTGACTTGATAGGAGGGTTGGAATACAGTTTAAAGAACAGATTATTGTTCTGTAGTCCTGTAAATGTAATCTTGGTGAAGCCTATTTAATTGAGCTGATTGATCTGCTTCAGACTATTTCTAAACATCTTTAGTATCCATTTTATAGAGTTATTGACTAAATAGCCATATAATAGTACATAGGTAGAGATCTTTTAGCTTTAATAGGTGCTGTCCATGCATACCAGTAGGAATTAACATAATATATGCTAAACTTAAAAATTACCATCCTCACCCCTTGTCATGAATACCTTTGGGTGTTTGGAGTGGGGAAGAAGGTGGGAGGTAGAAGCTTGGGTGAGGAACACAAACCTTGAGGTTTTCTTTTCCTTTGTAGCTGCATCTCTCCTGAAATGACTTGAAAAATCATCACCTTTCACCTGTGCTAGTCTAATTGCTCTCTAACTAGTCTCCCTGCCTATAGTTACAATCTTTTTTCTGATTTCCATTTTGTATCTCAAAATGGCCTGATCATCTTCTCCACCTGGCTATACTACAGGCACCTGAAGTTTACCATGGCTAAAACAAAACTCATCTTTCCCTCTAAACTCTTGCTTCTTTCAAACTTCCTTATTTTTGTTGAGGGGACCACTCTTCAACTAGTTGCTCTTGTTCACCTGACATTTCTCTCTCCATCATCTTCCAGCCTTCCCCTTACTCCCTTTGATTCTGTCTTTACAGTATATCTATATTTTTCTGTTTCTCTCTTCATAGGGCTATTGCCTTTCTTCACTCACCTACACTCTTCCCCCTAGTTCTCATCTGCCAAAATCTTAACAGGGCTTAGGTCTGACCACATCACTCCAGTTCTCAGAAATCTTCAGGGGCTCCTTATAAGAAAAGATAGAAACTTGGCTGTTTGTTTAAGGCCTTCCTTCGTGTGCCTCTAACCTATGTTTCTCCTTTACATTCTATCCAGATTGAACTGTCAGCTGTTACTGGAACTTTACATTGTCTTCTCCCTCTGAGAATTTTATAAATTATCCCCATGACTGGGATTATATTCTTTTGTCATCTTTACCTCTCATAATCCTTCTTTCAGGGCTGCATGAAACTTTCTCTGTTATCAGTCTCCATCTCCCTCCATTTGAAAGTCATCTCTTACTTCTGAAATTACCTTGTATTTATACATACCTGTAAATATATTGTATCTTTCTGGTAATATGTAAGCTCCTTGTTGTTTTTGGCTTTTCTATTCTCTGTGCATAGCAATAACTTTTAGGTGGCTGAACTGAATTTTAGAAAACCTGTGTGTGGAGACCTGTGAAGAAACTGAAAAGTAGCATGATAAAATATTAATTTAGATCCCCATTCTGCTACTTACTGAGCAGTTCACTTCCGATCTTTTGGCTTTGGTTTCTTCATCTGTAAAACAAGAAAGCTTATGAGAGAGATGATCTAAGGGAAGGTCACTTCTAGTTCTAAATCCTTTGATTCACTGCAGAAGCTGCTTTACTTCTCTCAGATAGTTTCAGGCAGGACTGATTAGCTGTATTGCTAGGAAGCTGTTCCAAAATGACTTTATCACATTGTTAACTCAAATCTCTGTTACAATTTTATAGCAAACATCTTTTTAAAAATATGTAGATTACTTCCAGGAAAGTTAAAGAACTATATTTATACTGTAAGGTGAAATTGTTTACTTAGATTGCTTTCTTCCTAAGATCTAGCCTGGTGAGATGGTTACCAAAATTTAAAAAATAAAATAAAAGTTGGACCAGAGGGCATTTGATGTATTTTTCTAAAAGTATAAAAGAGAACAGAAGGACAGTTAATAAGAAATAGACAAATAGGACAACTTTGAAAATAGCATGCTTAATTTATTATGTAATTAAGCAGAAAGTAAATCTACATTGTACCATTCCCTACTTTTTTACTTAGTATATAGAAATGCTCACATTGTGTTTAAGTTCATAATGTTAAAATCTGTAGTATTAGTTATTTGAGGCATTAAGAGATTAAGTGACTTACTCAGAGTCACATGTATCAGGATTTGGAGCCTGGTATCTGCTGTGAACCTAAGCACCATTTATTTATACTTTTGCTTTGCAAAAATGAATTTGCATGTTGAAGCAACCTCTGACACATGAACTTTTAGTAATACCCGCAGGAAATTAGGGAATGAGGTAAGTAGTGAATTTCCTATACAACTCTAATGCTTATTCTGAGCTAGGCACAAGCATACATTATACCTATGATTAAAGCTGTAAGGGCAGTGCACTCAGGAGCATTCTTATCTAAATTTTGTATTCCTCCAAACTTAGCATAATGAGATCCCTTTACCCGGTAAGTGCTTAATAAGTACTTGTTAAATTTGAGTACATTCACCTTTTGAGGAATACAGAAGGATCAGTTATAATCATCTCAAGAAATTATTTTCAAAGTTTGGCCTGATTAAAATATTCTTGGGTCGGTCCCTCTCCCTCCTTATCCCTTTTCATTATAATTATTGATTACATTCTATTTACATTTTCCTAACATGAAATACCATTAATTATTTTTCTTCATTAACAAAAAAAATACACCCTTTTTCCTCTCCACAAAGAGTTTTGGAATTTGAAGCAACCAACTGACAAATGAATTTTTTAGTAACAACATACGGTAAATTAGTAATTTGCATCTGAGGGGGTACCTTGGTGGTGCACAATGGATAGAGCACTGGCCTTGGAATCAGAAACACTCATTTTTTTTTTTAGTTCAAATTTGGCCTCAGGACACTAACTGTATGACCCTGGGCAAGTCATTTAACCCTGTTTGCCTTAGTTCCTCATCTGTAAAACGAGTGAAGGAAATGGCAGACCACTCCACTATCTTTTCCAAGAAAACCCAAATGGGGTCATGAAGGATCAGACACAACTGAAAAATAACTGAATAGCAGCAACATGTATTTGTAGTGAGCATACATCCTTGGTTTTCCAGGTTAGTATGAATTTCAAGAAAAGAAGGTGGATTTTTCTTTTAAGTTTTGCAAAAAAAAAAAAAGTTTTGCTTTTCAGACCATCTACTTTTTAGTTTGGAAAATACTGTCACTGCTTATATTGTATACTAGTTTAGGAGTTAACACTTAAAGTATCTAGAACCTACATACTGTAAAACCTTTCTAATTTATAATGATTGGGAAGGAAGGCCTGGAGTGTGTTGGTCTGAATTATAAATGAAGTTTTATTACTTTCAAATATACTAGAAGCTGGGATGAGATACAACCTGTGTTAGATAGTAGTTTTGCTTTAATAAACACGTTATCAATTCAATGCTTTTTTCATAAACATTGGTACTTGGGTACTTAAGGATACTTTGTCCTCTTAAGTAGTATAAACATTGTTATTATTAAATTGGTTACATATTAATTTGCTTACAAACCTTTGCATGCTGTGCAGTTACTCCCTTTGTAAATTTCTCCAAATTTCTTGTGCTGGTCAGGTTTTCCTGTATGAATCGGTGGCATGAGAATTTTACTGTTACATTATGCTTTTGGTTAGGACAGAACTGGAATTTGAGGGCACTCTGGAGCAGGTGATACTGGTGGGAGCCTGTAAGGGAGTGAGAGGGAATTAATTGCCTCCTGGGATGCCCAATGGCTTCTGGCCATGACCCTGGTGCAACAGCTTTCTTTAGGCAGACACTGGGATTGTATATTGCCAGGTATGAGTTCTTTTCCACTGCAGTAATTATGCTGATATGCTTCCCACATAAATACCACCCTTTCCCTTAGTCAGATGTTGTGGGATTTTTTATTTTTTACTTTGATCTAGAATTAGTCTGCCTCTACGATCCTTTCTTATTTCTTGCTGTTCATAAAACTGAAGATATGTAGGGCAGTGATGTTACTTCTTCAGGGATCTCTCTCTCTTTCTCTCTCTCTCTCTCTCCTTTCTCTCCTCTCTGTCTCTTTTCTCTCTCTCTTCTCTCTCTCTCTCACACACACACGGGATGGATTTGTTTTGATTTACTTTTAGTAGCTGGTCAGTTGTAGTTGGAAGACTGGTTAAGTTGAAATGGACCATTGACTCACCTTGTTTAATTCTTAAAAATAAATCTTTTAAGATGCATTCTATAATAACATACATGTTTCTTATAAGATTTTTGTTTTGGTCCAAATTTGCTTTTATTTTGGCTAAAAGCTCTGAATTAGTTGGGGGTCGGGGGAGGAGAGATGAAGAGTGAGGAGAAATGATGGTGGGAATTCTTAACTCCAATTTTCTTTTCTAGGCCTGATCAGCCTCGTATTACCAAAGATGTAATTTGTTTTCATGCTGAAGATTTCTTAGAGGTAGTTCAACGAATGCAGTTAGATTTGCATGAACCTCCACTATCTCAGGTGTGTTGTATATCATTCTTCTCTTCCCAGGCTAGTTTATTCATGGAACAGGTTTCTTATTTTGTTCCCTTTTTCCTTTTCTCTAGTGTGTCCAGTGGGTTGATGATGCAAAACTTAATCAGCTTCGAAGAGAAGGCATTCGCTATGCCAGAATTCAGTTATACGATAATGATATCTACTTCATTCCAAGGAATGTTGTACATCAGTTCAAGACTGTTTCAGCTGTATGCAGTTTAGCTTGGCATATTCGGCTCAAGCTGTATCATTCAGAGGGTGATGCCTCTCAGAATGCAGATACTTTGGAAGTAGGCACTTCAACAGATCATATGCCGTCAGTTCTTGGACTTCATACTGACAGCATAATTTGTACTGTAAGCAATACCACCTTGGATTCCAATTTTTCAGACAAACTGCCTACTAAGTATGAATTTCAACAGATTAAACATGAACCTTTTTCATCTGTAAGAATTAAAGAAGAAACTGTAAAAATTAACATTCTCGAAAAAACTACAGCGCCTAATAATCTGGACAGTCAGAATATTAAAACAAAGTTGGATCATGTTGAATTTGCAGAATTTAAAATTGATATGGACTCTAAATTTGAAAATAGTAGCAAAAATTTAAAAGAAAAATTGTGCCCTGGAAGTCATATAAGTTTAGATGACACAAGGCAGCATAGTTCAACACATCCAAGTTTGGATAGAAAAGATGATGACATTTTGTGCTAAATTTGTACATACAGTTTTAAATTCTTTTTTAAGCTTAATGACATAATAATGTAAAGATTCCCAAAATTCTGAAAGCAAGCCAATGCCTTGCTTTCATATCTGTTACAGAAAATAGTCGATGTAGCTTTGTAACATTCCTCAGTGCCTGTCCATAACTGTGAAGTATCAAAGCACTTAGGGCCAGATGCACTGTAAACACTGCAGGTTTAACATAAAGAAGTCTTTAAATCATTTGAGTTGTAGGTTTTTAGAGTAGAGCTGACATTAACATATATATATATATATATTTTTTTTTTGTAAGATGAGCCAGAATTCTTTTTGACAATTCAAGGCTTTTCCATAGAGCTTATTTATACCAGTTTTTTTTCCCCCCATTTTAATGTGTCAGCACTGTAGTGTAAATAGCTTTTTTAAAAAAATCTTTTTAGTGTGATTTTTACTGAAATGTGAGCCACTTAATAAAGGTTCATAATAAGAAATTTGTTTTATTGTTGGGTCTGCAAAAAAGACTTATTGAAAATTCAGTTAAATCATTTCATTGATCTATTATGTTTTTATTGCTGGTGTATCCATTTAGAAGTGGTAATGGAATGGAAATGTACTCATTCAAATCTAGTGAATATTTAAATTCCCCACTCTGGAAAAGCTTTTTTTAATTTTTAAACCAAGATTCAGTTATAAGAACATATATGTATGTGTGTACCATACTTTGCACAATTTTTTTAAAATGACTGAGTAAGGTGAGAATTTTGAAATGTTTAGGCACTGCTATCTGGAACATACTTTTTCATATTTAAATTCAGCATTAAGAAAATTAATAGAATCTTAATGTGGAAGATTGGGAAGAACAAGATCTAAAATAGTGTCATACTACTATAACTGAGGAAGTCATGTGGCATGCCCACATATTTTGTTGGTGCACAGAATTACTTAAAATTTGCAGTAGAGAAAATTTCTGATAGGAATTTGTAGAGTACTAAGTCCTTTGTGAGTAAGAATATCCACTTACTTTAATTTTTATTGTAAGGTGCAATTAAAATCCCCATTTATATTTTTCTGGGGTGTAGGAGGAAAATATAGCAAATGGTGGGAAAATATTAAAACAATAATTAAACTTCTCGATCAGGAATGGGCATTTTTACTTCTTCCGGTGTGGTACTCTTCCATTTCAGGGGCTTGTTCCCCACTCCTGGAAGGCAAATGACTCAGATAACTGAGTTGGCAAAGGAAAGCTCAAGGTAGTAGCTGATTAGGAAAAATAGCTTGGGTCCCACATACCTAGAACAATAATCTATTTTCGTTTAAAAATAAAGCTGAACTCAGAAGGATGGGCTCTTTGCCGAAATAACAACTGTGTTGTACCAAATAGCATTTGGAACTGCCACCATTAAAAAGCAACGTCCAACTTGTTAAATTTAAATGAAAATTGTAATAGATTTCCACCCATACTTTGTTGCAGATTGTTTCCATAGATCTTTACTTGGCTTTGGATGTGAAGTATTACATTTGTTGAAGACAGATCTTCTATCCTTTTATCCAGGTCTTATCTGTGACTAGTGCTCCCAGTTCCAGCGGCCACAATTCCCAGCTTCATATATCAAGATAACCTTTACAGCTGCTGACCTTCCTAGGAAAGAGATACGGCACTGTGCATGACAGTTGACTGCGGTTCTGCTAGTTACATTAATAGCTACATGATAGGGAGCGTAGGTTTGAGAAAGACTGGAACTTTAGGAGAAATTAGTACCTTCAGACAAAAAGTTTAGTGAAACAGGGAAAAGAGAGGTGGTGGTAAATTATGATACTATCAATATAGGCTTTCCCTATATTTACAGCTAAATCATTCTTTTCTCCACCCTTCCAAAAATTTCCCCATCTTCTGCTCCAAAGTAAACAAGTATTTTGACAACTTTTTCAGGGAAAAAAAATTTAACCCACCAATATTGGAAGAGAAGAAGGAATAAAGTTAAAACATGTTTTCCTTTTAATTATTGGGGAGGAGGAGTTGATATATTTAGCAAGATTTTATTTTTTTCCCTAATTTTCCAATTAGAAATGGCTACTTAGTTCTTAGGTCTTTAAGTCTTAAGGTTATTTACACTGCAATAAAATGCCTTTAGATTCTATCCAAAATTTATGAGCCTTAAAACTTTTCAACTTATAGGAAGGCACACCTAAAAGCAGCCCATAATGGTTGTTTTTTAAGATATCTTCCTGTATATGCTATAGTTAAACCTCTCTGTATTTTGATAATTTAATCGTTCTGTTAAATGCATACATCCCTATGGAGGTGAAATGCAAAGAATCAAGGGGTACAGAACTTCCTCTGTGGCCCTGCCACAGCCTTGTACCATGATCATTCCCCTTATCTTGCTGGGGGTGGTATTAATCATAAAAACACCTTCTGAGTGACACAGTTTGAGATCCTGTGGACTACATTTTGTGGCAAATAAATATTTTTATTTTTTAATGCTGTTAATATGGTCTCCCAGTTATAGTACATTCCACTTCTCTAACCATCAGAGTGTATAATTTTCTTTGCATCCATTTGTCATTTCATCAACCATGTGAAATATTCAAGTCACTAAAGGTATAAAAGATATATCCTAGGTTGGTTATATGCTCAACTATGGGTGCAGCATTGTTAAATTTATAAACAGACCTTAGAAGAAATCCCTAGGTACCTTACTGGTATCATCTACAATTCCCTTTTATGATTTATACAAGTTATATGCCTGTATTTCATACTCAGGTTAGCTAACATAAGAATCAAACATTAGTGGTACTTAGTTGAAAGCTTTAATGAAGCCATATTCATATTCAACACCCCCCCATCCCCAAATCCCACCCCTGGTCACTAAGATTGTTGACCTCATCAATAAAGAGAGATTAGGTTGGTCTAGCACAGCTTTGTGTGTGTTTGTGTTTTTTGTAAAGGTTCTGGTCCTCATTTACTCATTTTGTACATAGATTTCCTTTGTCTTGAATCATTCCTCTGATACAGTGTAGTATCACTAGATATTAAAGACAGGTAAACATCAAAAGGGTTTAAACAGGGCTATTGAAATTTCAGTTTTTCCTAAATATAAAACTCTTCCTTTTTAAGATATCTTTTATCTTATCTTTAAGATATCTTCTAGTACAGGGAAAGTATATTTATTTTTAATGGAAACTTAGAATATTTATTCATGTTATGTAGTTATACTTCTGTCGTATTTGGGGGCAAACTTTTCATGTAACATGAATACTTAAAAACAATTTTGATTCTATTAGGGAAGGCACTAGTCTTATCTTTGGATTTTGAGAGGACTCACCTTTCAATAACTGCTAAAATCTTGGTAACTAATCTTTTTTATATTTATGCTTTGTAATTGTTTCCTACATCTTCAGTAACTAGTTTTTTCCTCATCATCTCTTTCTAATTCTTGTTAGTTGGCAGAATTTAAGCATTCAAGATAATGTGCTTTCAATCAAGTCAAGATTATTTATTGTGTTTTTCCATTGATCTTAAAAGTAAGCTAAATATTCTTGATTATTAATCTAATTACGCTCAGTGTTTGATTATTGTGCTAATGGCAGGGAGTAATGTCCAGGATAATCCAAAATTGTATATAACCATGACTTAAAGTGTAAGTAATGGGGGAGGCACTGGGATGGTTTGACAGAACATGTTTCTTTCCCCCTAAAGCAGGTTATAATCACTACCACTCACCCAGAAAAAATAAAAGCACTATCTTAGGATGCCCTGGAAATGCTAAAAAAGTATCCAGATGATTTTTGCCCACTGAGTGGTAGCCCATTGCATAGTAGATGCTCCCCCATCCAACCAAGATGCTAGATGATATATAAAAAATAATTCATTTCCATTGCATTTTGTACTTGTATCAGAATAGTTATGGCTGATGTTTTAGATATTTACAACACTTGCAATAAAATTCATCCTTTGAGGAAGGACTCAACTCAGAGTTTAAGTCTATTCAACTTTACTCTTTTGTCTTTATGGAGTCTCTTTATTTACCACTTGATACATGGACAACAGGCATATCTCAGGGGTCATCTAGTCCAATGCCAGCATTTCATAAATGGGGAGGCTGTTGCCTAGAGAGATTGGGACTTGTCCATAGAAAATGTTAGGAAGTTCAAATCTGA